AGAGGAGAAAAGAGAGACTGTTGTCGCAGTGTCAAAGACAACAACAGCAGAGGGAGCGGCGGAAGAGAGCACCGTCGAGAAGGATAGTGAGACTGTAGCAGGTGCCGATGTAGGTAAGCAAGCGCCTATAAGTAGTCAGGATAAGAATGTAATACGGAATCTCAATCTTAGGAAGCCAAGAGCGGGCAATTATATAGGGAAATATCCGAAGTAGGTGTCGAGGACGACTATCTGTAGGTAGGTAGCCGAGGGGTTGGTTGGTCACGTGCACTTGCATGAGAGGACAACGAATTAAGAGGGCAAGGACAACCAAGATCGTGGAGAAGCACCACGCCGATGGTCTTTTGCAAACACGAGGCAAGCACGACGGTCGACCGAGTACAGCAATCATGAGCGGCCCGTACTACCACCTTTTCGCGAGCGAGCTGAACAACATACAGCGCAGGGGTCGAGTGTTTCGGGAGCCGGTGTATCCCGAGGTGATGCCAATGCCGATTGATCCGGGATTGCAACCGGAATGTTATCGAGAGGCGATCATCGAGGAGGTCGGCCGGATACGCGCGGACTGGTGTTACGAGAAGCGCTGCTCGACACTGTTGGCCGCTGAGTGGGGAGTGTCCGAAGAACAAGCGGACGGGTGGGCGAGCCAGGTCGACGAGTACCGAGCCAGCCGAGAAATCGTCTTGGCGGAGGAGCGGGCTGCTGCTGCTGAGGAAGCACGGCGGTATTGGATGCTGACCGAGGTGCCCTCCGATGATGAGGATGACATCGGCGGAGCGATCGAAGTTGTTGTGGAGGCCGCTGTGGAAGAACCCGCCGCCGTCGCTGAGGAGCCCGCTGTCGAACCGGTCGTAGCTGTGGAGGAACCCGTTGCACGCGCTAGGGCGCCAGCTTTCGAGTCTGGTTGTCTCAATTGTGCCTCGAGGGGACACAGCCGAAGATTCTGCCCGCACCCCGACACCCGAGCCTGCTTCCACTGCCGGCTATTGGGACATTATCGAGAACAGTGTCCAAATCGTGGTGTGCGGCTGCTGTTGTCCGAGAGATTGGTCAATTGGGAGCGCTCGTTGGAAGAGATGCGCCAACGCGTACGGGACGGGACCGCTGGCATGCGCATTGTGGAGCGTCTGACGAACGAGAGGCCAACGCGAGCGTCCTTGTAA